CCTACAGGAGGCAGGAGGGATGGAAGCGCTACTAGGGAAGGATCGTAAGTCCAAACATCAGAACTGGGCAAATTTGCTGAATAAAACAACTATTTTTAATAAAGGATAAAGGATAAAGCATTTGCCGTTGATCAATCCCTTTTGGGATGCGGCACGCATTCTACTTCCATTTGTACATTCGCAGTGGGCGTTTGAATGCGATGTGGCCTATACAATGACTTGCGGGGGCCAGCCGATGTACAAGTCAGTGTTTTTCCAATTAACCAACCCTGGAGGGATGAAAGGCTTTGTTGGTCCGGTCGACGCATCTTTCAGGAGATGATCCCCGGAATACGCACGTGTTAAGCAGCGTTACTTGCCACTGCACTGCTTCCTCCCTATACAAGTTATTTTAGATAGTAACTTTCACGTAACGCTCAGGAAAATGGCAATGACGGGCTGTAACGCACTTATCTCCTAGTTTCTTACTACAGCTCTCTTGAGGATTCTGCAGATTCTCTCGAGTCTGGTCAGGCAAAAAACGGGATAGAATTCTATTTAGGTAAACGGAGCAATGGATCTGAGTTCGGGTGGTAAAATTTCACATCGCCATGTTTCGCCTTTTTGGGACAGATACCAGAAACAGGGCGCATTCAAGAAGAACGGGATAACGAATCCCTTCACCTTCTTTCTTTAGTGAGCTATATCGTTGATGACAGAGAAAGGCACCATAGGAACTTATCCATATCTGACAATGACACAATGAGAGGATGGCACGGTGAGTACGTAATGGGCCATAACTGAACCCTGACGTCAGTTTGTGATTCGCGCTCGCAACTGCGATTTACTGGTAATATGACCGCCTATTGTGAGTTTCGGCATGGAGAGACATGGCGATCCTGTCATTCAATGCAGATATTGACAGAAGTATAAACAAACTGTGCCGCCTCCACGAATTACCATCTGCCGATCGCGCAAATCTTCTGCAAAGTTTTCTGTGAAGTTTTCAAACTCACATGAAAAATGGAGGACGCTTCTAATGAACTTCTATAATATATTCCAAATTGTGTAAGGAAACATAGAAGGTTGGCGGATCCGAAGGATGCGCCGTGAACTCGAGCTAAACCTAAATTTGTAGCAGTAGTGACCAGCGGCAGGCCCGTAATCCGCTGAGAAACTTTCCAGCCTTGATCCCTGACAGGCCAACCTGGGGGGTCTGATCAATTTAGTGGTACCAGCTGAGAGCATGAACACTGACTTCAATATCTTCCGCACCCCCCCCCTCCCCTTTTCTGCAAAGCTTGTATGGCAATTTTACACAAAATTATGTTAATAGCTTGGATTTCAGGAGGAAAAACTTCTTTGAGGAGAAGTAGAACTACTAATCGGACAGCCTAATATGCATTGCTTCGTAATAACTTCGTATGCTGTCTAAACGTTTGCCAGAACACTTCGAGTAAGTCCACAGCCTATTCTCCAGCATTAAATTTGCAACTTTTCCATGAACACACTAAGAACTAAATCCTGACCGAGGTATCTTTTTATGCACTAAGCGCTCCCCAGCGTTACCTTTTGGCGAATATTTACTTTTTGAACCAGTTGAGATCCCATGTGCCCACTAATTGTTGTTTTCGTGTAGGGAAGCTGTCCAGAAAGTTTAATTGGAATTGGGGTAATAGAAGCGAGAGCCATGAATCAACAAGGAATCTATTAAGTAGTTCACGCTTACGAGTCTGACTCGATGGCCAAACAATCTCGACCAGCTGGAAGAACGAAAGCGGTGCGAGCCAAGAATGAGGCTGCGATGGCGCTTCTTTAGAGTCATCTACTCCAGCTCGCTTTACCTCGAACTCAATCTCTTCTTGTTAGATTCCTCTTAGCAAATGATAGATTTAGCCCGCTGGAAAAACAGGAAAGACAGCGCATCGAATTCTTATCAAAGATTCTTAATTGTGTCGGAATCGCAGAAGCTCTTATTATTATTGAGGTAATCCTCAGTCTTCTGGGATGGATGGCCTGACAGCAGCGAGTGGGAGCATATCAGTTAATAATAGCGAAGAAGCAAAATTATTCACCGAAAACAACTTGTTTATATCTAATGGTCCTACCACCTATTTCTATCTCAATGTCTATCTCACACTTTGGCTTTTTTTTTAATTATCAGCTATCCTCTTCAAGACAGTAAGCTCATTTATCAGCTTCATTAGTTAGTATCCCCAATTGGTGGGCGTATGACGACGATAATCAGTTGGTGATGAGTTTTTAAGAAGAGTAGGACATCAGGCCCTTATTTCTACAGCTTTGTGCCACGAACACGATTAGGATTCGAAGAACGTTCTTTCTCTAAGATTTGCCTCAGAATCGGAACCAATTTCGTTGACACGGCCAGCATCGCGTTTTGTTACATAATTTGTGACGTAACGGTAGCGAAACAGCATTCGGTCTAGTTGACAGCAAACCGGATCTCATTACTTCAATGCTGTATATATGGAATCCATTAAACCCCCTCTTATGTAACCGGCGGACTATTCAATCATTATTTGATACATTGTCTGGTTAAGGCTGCAATTTTGCAAACGTTCTAATGTTAACTTCCAGTTACAATTTTTAAAATTTGATCGGAATTATCTATGTTATTTCGCATTGCTACGAGAGCGTTCACCAGATGTAATGCATTTGAACCACGTTAGTGCGGCATTGGCGAGGCAAAGGTGGTCCCGGACCAGTGAGGCATCTACATAGGGGGGACAATAAGCCTTCCATGACTAACTGTACTCGGGGCAACTGCCTGTAGCCTTGCCGTGTCTACATTCAAAGTGCCATGAACTAGTTCGGATGGAAGAGGATGCAAAGTTCATAGCAAGGAAGGATTACCGAAAGTCTTACATGTACTTCAAGAGGCGGAAGTGGGTAGTTAGGAGCAGTGAGTACGATTACCACGCCGAGCCGTTTCCGGAAAACCTGGGTTCGCCTGCCTTCGGCCCGGGCCAACCAAGCCTTCCATCCCTCCGGGGTCGGTTAATTGGTACCAGACTTGTCTGGGAGGATAAAAACACTGACTTGTACATCGGCTGGCCCCCGCAAGTCATTGTATAGGCCACATCGCATTCAAACGCCACTACGAATGTACAAATGGAAGTAGAATGCGTGCCGCATCCCAAAAAGGGATTGATCAACGGCAAATGCTTTATCCTTTATCCTTTTATCCTTCTTTTTTTTGACTTTGTCTGCCACATATTACGATTCCTTTTTTTACTGCACCGTGAATTAACCAGAGAGCAAGTGGCACTTGGCCTTGCACGAATCATTCGGTTTCAGCGATTGTGTTAACGTGAATTCGTTGACCACGATCTTACGTCAGCAGGTGTTTTTATTTTTGTCTGTGTTTTTATTATTTAATTTAATTTATTTATTTATTTATTTATTACTTTTATTATTTGATTGTTTATTCATTTATTTTGATAATTTATTGAGACGCTGCCTCAGAAGCGGACGGTGAAAATTAGGCGCACAATCACATACAATAAAAAATCACGTTGATTGTGCTTAGTAATACAATAACTGCTTATTTGCCCTACATTTCGAAATCATGAAAACCTGTGAGCAAACGGCACAGCCCCTCAGTAAAATCTGAAGTTTAAGCCTGTTTGGGATTACGTAATGAAGTTCTCAAATTAAGTGTTTTGAAATAAAAATTTACAAGATAATCCGATTGTATCCCCAAGTGTCTTGGGAAAAGGTAGAGTGGTTTGCATATCTTGCACATATCTTAATATGCAGTTAGGACAGTGGTGTTCAAGGCTCGACAAACGTTTGTTTTTGCTCGAATTGCGAGGCTAGAGGAAAGGTGTAAGTGGGCCCTGATCACAAAGACTAAGAAGGGAGACTGGAAAGGAGCGGTCTCCGACTTCCCCACTGCATTTCAGTCGTGATTTTCCCTGTACTAATTTATTTATTTATCATAACTTAATATTTATTATAATTTATTTATCTATTTAATTATACGGAGGAACACTATCAGTGGTGCAATGGCATTACTATAGCTATTACACATGTTTACTTAATAGTATACTGATGATCAAAATTATAATTTATTGTTCGTATTATCAAGTATCCCTAGACTCTTCTGTCTCTTCTGTGAATTATATATTCGGCAGCTAGGCAATGAATAATATGGAGGTATTAGTGGCGTAGTCACCATAATGCTCGGCCCGGCGCATTGAAATTTGGATTGGCGCCTTTTAGGAGATGCCAAGCCCTCCTTCTTTAAGTAGCAGTGATTTTGCATCAAAAGTTATGATGAGAGGAATAAAAAGACATTGTTACACGCGCTCCATAATTCATCGCCTTAAGGCATCAAAATAGACCACATTTTGAATTGAGTGGTGGAACGCGTGGCGCATCCCAAAAAATTGATAGGCGCTTTATCGTTCTAATTTCTTCGGCTTGAACGTTCTTCTCATGAAAACAATATTGCAGTTTCCGCATATTTTTGGCAACTGAAATAGTAGTAGGTACAACGCTACTCGTTCTTACTTCTTACACAAGTACTATAAGAACTTCTCGTTCACCTGGAAAAGGCGTAACCTGATTCATCGAAAATCCAAAGGTTGGTTACGAAAGGGCAAGATTACCCTATGACTGGGGGGGGGGGGCTGAAACAGCCGAAATACTATATGCTCAAGTGGTCCCTCTGCTGTTTCAAAAAAAAAACAAAAAAAAAAAAAAAAAAAAAAAACACGTCACGACCCCGACACATAAAGTTTCACACGCCGTCGGGATTCCGCATGCGCAAAATTTATTGTTGAAAGCTGTTTCTGTCGAGTTTTTGAAGGTGAAAATTATAAGCACTCCTGTCTGCTCATCTCTGATTTGCAGAGTTACCGTATTCTTTGTTTCTTTCCTCGTCCTTTATTTTGCACCGTTTGTTCCTCCGACGTTGTGTAATCCGCAATTCTATTTTCCTTATCGCATCTAGTAATACTATTAATACGAGTCTTTATTCAGTTCTATAAGTGGGCATGATCATTGCGGTGGCCCTCGTGGCCTTAATTCCGCTCTTACCGTATGCGGTCACGCAAGAATCCACCACCGAGTTGTTCAAGGAGGATGTTATGCCGACTAATGAGATGATAGCGGCTAACCTTCCCACACTTCCACCCACTACAACGGAGGAACCAAAGAAATAGTAAGTTTTCTTGAAGAATCATCTTTTTCTGCAATTTCACAGTTTGGTGAAGTTTTGGTAGCTGCATCAGGCGTTGGAAAAAAAGAGCACGAACTGGGTATCGAAAGTCCTTCGAGACCAGTCTAGCCTTCGTTTTCTCTTAGATTAGCTGCTTAGCACGGTATCTGTCCTAGTGGGTAAAAACATTCGAATCTATCCGGTTCCTCATAACAAAAGCTACAAGCATTTTTGAACGCTCCCACAATTGTGACTCAAGCTGGATGTGTGGCGCATCCTACGAGGATTGTTTCATGCGAAGCCTTTATATGATAACAATTAACTATTATGAATATACAGTATAGCCCACAATCGACTTTCTTTGATGGCTCAACCTATCGAACAGAAATATTCTTTTCAGCCCGGGTACTTATCTGGTAGTCGCACCAGCAGTGGTACGGCCAGGTCTACCGTATGCGGTCTCGTTCAATATTCTGAAAAGCCCTGAAGAAGATCATATCGTTCGAGTTCAAATCCGAACCGATCAAAATGACACGGTCGCCACGAGGGTTGTGAAAAATGTTCGGCAAGGTTTGTGAAAAACGTTTAGAAATTTCCTAAAGGTCGTCCTCAGAAGCTATCTTCATTGCAAAGGTTCGGCGATTATAAGTTCATGTTCCAGGGATTCCGCAAACTGTCACTATTGACACCATAGCTGCTGATTTGTCACCGAATATGAACTATAAGGTGAGCGATTCGTTAACTGATGGGTGGGTAACTAGGGCTTTGCTACGAGTTTGATCAGAAAGTTGACTTGCTTCTCTTTGCAGTATCAGTCGACTTGTAACTGAGCTTGTGGCCAATTTCGATACCTTACTTTGCTTAGCTTTTTTCGTTCAAGTCGGCAATTTTAAAGGCTTTTAAGGCACACCCTTTAGGAACTTAGGTAGACCAATCCCGTCGCTGGATAGGATAGAGCTTTCCACATTGGTAGCATTTATGCCTCTTCAGAAGTGCGACAATAGCGCTAACTTCTTGTTACTTGGCCTATTCTGTGCTTTTGGTGGTGTTTCCGATGCAACGATTTTGTGATTTGGGTATCTTAGTCCTATTTCCTGACATACTCCTTTGCCAACGCTCGATGTCTTCACTTCTTAGCTTGATCGGTCTCACAAAAGAAAAAGGCTCTCAAATTCAGCGATTTCTGCGGTTTTTCCCTTTTCCTCCCAGCCGTCCACCTGACTTCGCTCTGTTCATGCTCGAGCGAAATAACCTCATCTTCTGACCATGGGATATGCCTTCAAGGAAAAGATGATGATCTGAAGTCATTCTTTTTTAAAGTGTTTTGATCTAAGTGTTTTGCGAACTCTCTAACAGAAGTCTTTGTCCTGGAATTTCTTCCTGGCGTTAACTGGCGGCCCTTTTAAGTTTTGCCGAGGGTACGTGCGCATCCCAGTACCCATGCGATATTCACTAGAAGTAGACTGTGTGGCGCATTCAAACCGAAATGATCATCGTAGGGAACTCCACTCTTTGTAATAAGAGAAAATTATGATATATGTAGATATATAATATTTCATATTTCCAGGTGTATGTACGAGGAGAAACGTTGAACTCGAACGTCTTATTTGAAGAGGAGAAATCTGTGCAATACAACCAGAAGAGCCTTTCAATATTTGTACAAACCGACAAGGCTATTTACAAACCAGGATCAGTTGGTGAGCCGACGATTTCATTTTTCAATGCTTTTCATGTGATTCGAATTTTTCGAATTTGATTTTTTTCCAGTTTACTGTACTTTCATCATTTCCAGAACTTTTGCGAAATGGTTCTCAAGCACTACTCTCTCTTTCGCAATAATTTTATCACTTCTCGTTCCCTGCATTCTTTAGTTCATCTCCTGTTTTGCTATTTTTTACTAAAGTCTGCAATAATCCTCATCCACTTAAAAAATCTAATTAATTGATTGATTTAGTGTTTTACTTACTGATTGAGCGCACAGGAAAGTGTGGCACAATCATTTCGAAGTTTAGCCGCTGACTGATGTGACCTTAAAGGCACAGCCCACGACTCAGGGAGTAGGCGTGAAATCCTACGAATAAGCTCGAAAGGAACAGCGGCTGTGGGCAATGCCATCCCTGGTGTCCGTTGTGGCAGAAGATGCTCCAGAAACGAATTTCTTTGGTGCCAAATGTTGGTCCCTCTGCCCACTTTTGAGATATCACTCATTCATACACTGGTGTGCAAAGCTTAAGGACGAACGTCACTTTTCCGTGACGTGTTACTGCCGAGTAACATATCTCTATGAATGCATAGAAAGAACAGCTACAGTACAGTACAGAGAGCAAATAACAGGAACCCTTTGAAAGTCCACAAAGCTATCAATAACTTATTTTACTTCATCTATCTTCAAGTTTTGGAGACAAGAGTACCATGCATGGCTTCTGGCTGTGCACTCTCGTATTCGCTTTTCCTCTCTCTTCGCCGCCCA